TCAGAAGAAAGACCAGATCATGCAAGTAAACCGTCTCATAACTTTTAAGTCAAGCATACCTCCTTGAGCCCAGAATGCCAAGGTGGTAAATTATTATCTGACCTCATCAAAGAAAGCGGCTTCGGCAGACCATACTGCAAGGATTCAAAAATATCCATAGAGATGAAACCAAAAACTTATAATAAAATTAAATAAAGGACAATTCAAACCTTGATTTAAAAATAAAAGGACAATAGAGGCACTGTTATGATTTGCATACATTACATGGCATGCCCAGTAGAACTCAACATTATCACAGAAGGAATGTCAAAAAGATTTCATGATTAGTGCTGCTTCAAATGAAGAAAGCATGTCACAAAAATGCTACAAATACCACGCACAAGCTTCACCTACAGGTTCCCTACAGGTTAACTGCCTCAAAATTATCCACAAATAAAGCATTTCAGGAGACAAATTATCAAGCACGGGTTGAGATATATTGAAACAACTTTATTTTTTGCAAAGTCCTGCTATAAAAAATAATCATGTCACTGAACATATTTAAATAACTTTTACGTGTAACTATAGATTTTAAAATTAATCTCGTCTCGAATGGGACCTAAACACAGTCAAACACTCTATGGTTGTATCTATCATCATAATTCTTACCCTTATCCCCACTATATGGGATCAAATACATGAATACTTCTCATTAATCCTTTTGGTAGGAACTTCATGAACAGTTAATTCTCAGGCATGATTCCCAAAACCCAACATGGTTATTCACAAATCTCGAGATGAGAACTTCTCTCCAAAGCAAAACTTTGGAGGCATCAATTCTATGTGTGAAATCCATGGTATAAATGCAAATTTCAAATCCCCTAATCAGATAATCATGTAGAATGAAATCCCATGTATACATGGCTTATATGGAAAATACATAAAATACTCCTTATATTAAGTCAATTAAAAATTCTCCCCAGCAACTTAATCTTGTGACAAAATTAAATCTCCTCAGTGCCTCATCCTCTGCAGGTCGGGCAATTTAAGCTCATAAAACCTCGAAGGACAAAACACATTGCAATGACATCAGGTCAAGACATAGCCAGAACTAAATACCCATGAGATACCTCCATAGCACAAATGTCGCGCACAGTAGTTGTAGCGTTGAACCTAACAAGCACTTTCCACTAATTTTTCACTCCTGAAATAATCATTCCCTCACACTAAATGACGCAAATATATGATCCAGAACTGAGATGAATTGTGCAATGCAAATCTCATCCATCCAATAATCTAAAATTGCACTTAAAAACTTATTTTGTAGTCTTTCCTGCAGCCTGATAATTAACTGTTGTCTAACTCCCAAAAATATAATGCATCCAACGAATATGAAGTAATTGAAGTACCCAAACTGTACCCGATATACATGTAGTTTTCAAAGTATTGTTGCTCTAATAGCAAATAAAGGGTACCTACATACTTTGACCTCAACATTGCAAAAAAAAGTACTACAAGACTTGGAACAAATTAAGATATAAAATTCATTCTTAAATCAAATATGTCTAAACTTAAACCAGTCTTTAAAATGTAATAATATGTCATAAAGAAAAGAAGTTTCAAGCCTTAGAGTCCTACATACACCATTGTTTCCATATACATAATCCCATCATATGACCTACCATGACATGGAAAAAAAAAATCCTGAGTTCATAACCCACGCATTGAGCTTCTAACTTGCAGCAGTAGAAATAATATCACCAATATCCATATCGGCCATGATTGCATGTGATCAACCTATCCACATGGTCGTTATCACTAATCTACTGCTCCCTCTTCGTTAATTTTCTACAATATCTCTTACAATGTCATTCTTCTAGTAATTGAAATATGGTATGTTCCTGTCAGCATATTTTCCATTAGAGGAACCCTAGCTCTAATGGCCTCCTTTAAAAATAATCTAATGCAAAACAGTCAGTTGAACATTATTAAGTCACTCGTACGATAGACTATTTGATTTAATCATATGTAATGGACATTATCATGACATTATATATTTATCTTTACGCAAAATATAATAATGTTCGTTACTATAAATAAATTCATTCTTTGTATGTGTGAGGGAAAGCAAGTTATATGCATTTGATCCAAGCTGGGTATAAGGATCATTCCACGCATTGTGCACGTATACTGTTTATAAAACTAAAGTATCCATTCTTCCCTCTTCAGTTCTCTTCGGTTTTGCATCCTTTTCGCTGAAATTATTTTATTTTCTTTTCATGTCCATTATCCATTTCATCTCTTCAGCTTTCAATTGGCGCCAAAGCTTAAAAATTCTTGGTTTCTAGGTGCTAAGTGTTCAAATTTTTACTGTCTTCAGCAATGAAATTTCTTCCCATTTTAAACGACTTTTTTTTAGTGAATTTTTTTTTAGAATGCTTTTCTAACGATAAGTGAGCAACCTGAAAATTTCATTTTATTTTTAATTTGAGTGCACAAAGAATATCGAAAAGTTAAATCATCATCATCAATCTCAAAATGACAATGATCAACCCATAGATCCACATCAAACCTTTGAGTATTACATTATGATCAACTTCAAAACCAATTTTACATACCTACTCTTCAAACAAGACGTAAAGCTGATCTTTGGACTGCTTATAAAAGAAACTTTCTTTGAAGATGTTCCATAGTTACCGTGTTTACATGCTCATAGGAATCTCAAAGAGCATCCTTATCCTATTGATTATGAAAAAGCTCATGATCCTACTCATCATCCTGCACTCCATCAAAAATGACACGTGTATAGAAATGATGCTAATGACCAAACACAATGTATCACGCTTGATTACTCTTCCTTTGAGAATATCTACGATCCTAATGTCTTCACGATTGCATTGTTGAAATTGAGTATTTTTAATTGGTATAATATAAACGATCTTCAACATATTAAATTTTGCACTAATGGAACTTATCACTGATCAATTCTAAAAAACATTATTTGCAGCGTCATGAGGCCACAGTTACTACTTGAGTTGAAATGAAATATCACCTAAGAAATTATCCACCATCTTATTTCAAGAAACAACTAGTCAAGCAGCTCATAATCTCTATTTTGAGAGGCATTTACGGGGCACGCCCAGGGGTGGGCAAGATCCAGTTCGCCCTAAGCCCAAGAGGGGGGCAGAATCCTCAAGGGACTTACGCACTAGATCACCTTATATGCCCCAAGAGCTCAATTTGTGCCCCACCAGAACGTACACACCTCACTGTTTAGGTAAATAAAACAGAAAAAAAAAATCACTAATTTCCCAGAAACGCCGCAAAAGAAGTCCCACAGTAGTCTCCTTTATCCCTCCCACAAACAGCAATTGCATCTTCTCTTTCGTCTCTCCCACAGTCGCACGCAAACAATTCCGTAGCAGTCGTTGCATTGTCTCTCGCACGCAGATGATCCCGCAGCAAACGATCATGGTCTTCCTGCTTCCTCTCTACTACAAACGCTCCTCCTCTCTCCCGCAAGCCACAGCTCAATTTTACTGTGTAATCAAATTACACGTGAATTTTTAGGTTTTATAAGGAATTAATAGATCATTTCACTGTAGCTACAATGAGTTCTTATAGCTACAGTAATTTCAATGTAGCTACAGTGAGTTTACTATAACTACAATAGTTTTATTATTTTTACCTGATTTTTTTTAATGTATAATGCTAGTTATTAACTTGTAATGGAAAATGGTGATTGTGTGACTAGTAATTGTCGCATTAGCAAGAACTTCGCATGTCAATAGACAACAAACACACATAATGAAAAGTACTTCAGATGTAAGTTTTGTAATCAAGTGTGTAGTGGAACAATAAACAAAATAAAGCAACATCTTGGCGGCACACACAAGAGCATTAAACCATGCACTAAAGTCCCCACTGAAGTTCAAGAGAAATGCAGGAAAACATTAGAAGAAGATGCAAAAGTCAAAGCGCAATGTGACAATATATTAATTGATATTATAAGTAGAGCAACAAATGATTGTGAATGTCAAAATGCCCCTAATTCATCATTATTAAACTCCTCTCAAAGACCACCTAGAATTGGATGACTGTGTATTCTTTACACACAACACTAGCAAGGAATTCAACTCTACATTCTAAGCGGAAAAAAGATGAAAGAAAAGAAGCATGTAAAGTAATTGGAAGATTCTGCTATTCAACCAAATTGACATTTAATGTTGCCAATGATCCATATTATACTCTATGTTTGAAGTAGTTGCTAACTTTGGACTTGGTTTTGCTCCATCTACAATACATGAATTAAGAACTTGGATACTCCAAAATGAAGTTGTTACAATCAATAAGATGATAGAGAAGCATAAAAAGGCATGGAGTAAATATAACTGCTCAATTATGTCAGATAGTTAGACAGAAAAAAGGTAGAGCTTTGATTAATTTTCTTGTTAATGGTCCACCTGGGACTTTTTTCCTTGAATTTGTGGATGTTTCTAATGCATATAATGAGTGGCGAGTTATTATTCACTTATTTGGATGACAGGATTGATGAAGTAGAAGAAAAAATGTGGTGCAAATTATAACAGATAATTGATCAAATTATGTGAATGCGGTAAAAAGGTAATGGATAAAAAAATAACATATTCATTGGATATCTTAAGCAGCACATTGTATTGCATAATGTTAGAAGATATTGAAAAGTTAAATATTCACAAAAGCACAATTGCAAAAGCAAAACAAGTTGTTCAATTCATTTATGAGCACACATGGGTCCTTGATGAGATCATTTACAAAAGAGAGGGAACTCGTTCGTCCAGCCATCACACAGTTTGCTACTGTATATTTGACCCTTCAAAGCATTTATAATCAGAAGCAACCACCTCAGACAATGTTCTCCACAGAAGTTTAGTGTTCTAGTCAATGAGCTAAGAAGACAGAAAATCTAAAAGCTCGAGCATTTATTTTGTTTGATCCATATTTTTGAGGTCATCTAACTTGTTGTATCAAAAGTGTTATACCGCTTGTAAATTTTTTAAGAAAGGTTGACTCAGAAGAAAGACCAGTCATGGTTATGAGTTAATGGATTCAGCAAAAGAAAATAATGCTTTTAATTGTGAGCATAATGAAAAGAAGTATGGACATATTTGGAGGA